AAAAAAAAAAAGACAGACCATATAATTGAAATATATATATATATCATAGATGTATAGATAGCTCAAAGAAAAAAATTTCTCGTGTGCATAATAATATACAAATTTACATTATTCCATGCCCAATTAACAATAAATAGAACCAGTTACAGCTCGACAAATAATGAAATAAAGAAAAACGATGTTGAGTTAGATATACAGCGAGCCAGAGTATCGTTGCTCAGATTCACAATTCGGCATTTTCGCGACACAAACGTGTGCATTACGTCATTAAAAACGTAAATCTGCACAAGTATGCTCGTTTTATATCAGATCTTAGCGACTTCACTTACGTAAAGTATACTTTTAAATCAATGAGATTAAAAACTCTGCTATTCTTTTTATTGATATGGGTCAAAAGCAATAACCCAATAATCGAGCTAAAACTATCATAATATCTTAATCGTAGCCATTATCGTTATCGATCGCAAAATCGATTGGGTTAAAAAAACGACACGGATATAAACGTTACGAGGAAATAATTCGAAACGTTGGCAAATAATTTAACGCATTCCAGACACTTCGTGGCGGTTAATTCGCTACGTTTACGCGAGAAATGTTGAGCACGTGCGAACTTAATGTTGTTCTTCTAATTAAATTCTCCAGTTACAAAGCGAACGTTCCCAGGGTTCATGAACGTGCGACTGTTATCAAGGCCTGAAAGTGCGATATCGCGACGTTTTGCACCGCTATTGTTCGCCTTCTTTCATATGAAATGAACTTTAAAAGAGGCAATATCACCGGAAGGATGCCACCGTCTTTGAATGCGCACGATGCGCGTAATGAAAAGCGTAATATTTCGTATCTTGGCCACGGATCGCCCATTTGTATCGTTCTAAATGGAAATTTAAATCTTTATTATCATTTGTTATTCATTTATTATTACTTCTAATGGAATGTTTTTTAACATTATTTCTTATTATTATTTATTTAAAATGAGTTTATTTTTAAAAATAAGGATAATTAAATTTCAAGAAAAATGTCATTTTTTTTTTTTAGAAAAGAAAAAAATATGATTGTTGACGTAACATTTTATCTGCAATTTATTTTCAGCCAATTATGTTTAATTATTAATTATATTAATTTATTATATTTATAAAAAGATTTATAAAAGAGAATTCTAAGAATTTTTTAATTGTTTCTTTTATCGTTATCCTCTATCAATATTTTACAATTTGATATAAACTTTAACAAGCTCAAATATTCCATTTTATTAGTTTTAAATCGTAGAAATATTTTTCTCCTTAATTAGCAAATTATTAACTTAAGTTTGTAAAATAATCTATTATTCTAATGCACTGTTCTATTTAATTTTAATTAATAACATTTATATGCTCTTTAATAAGTTAAATGAATTTTCTATCAGAAGGTTATATTTCGAAATGGAAACTTGTATTTTTAATAAACGCTCGCTATGTCGCGTTTATCAGACAAAACAAATGTTTTTTCTCATTTATGATACTTGTACAACTGTTGACTTAATTATATGAATTCGCGCTATTTTTCCACTTTCCAATAAATTGTCCACAATTGGGCGATCGATTTCAATTTACCCAATTTCGAGAATTAACGAACATTGTCAGACAAAAGATGAAACATCGTAAGTATAAATACCTAATACTATTGAAGAATTATATCCGCCATTGATTGATTTTTCCAAAGATCATCGATCCTCGAGAGATTTATCAAACGGTTCGTACAATTTCAATTGGAATTTACACTTCGTTATATAATTTTAGAAAACACTGGCTAATTTTTTTTCACCTTTACTCTTCACTATTGATCAAATATCATACAGAAAAAAAGAATTAGATTAAATTAAAAATAAACTTTTAAGTAAAGAAATGGAAGATAAAAGAAAATTTTAATTAAATTATTTCTTCTTTAGAAAAGAAACAATTTGTGACGAGTTATTTTATTAAATCAAAATCTATTTAAATAATCGCACGAAAGCACGTGGATAGGGAAAACACTTGTTGAATACTGTAATAGTAATAACGAAAAAATTGCTCAAAATAATATGTTTTTTTTTTTCTTTCAGAAACTTAAGAATCAAGATCAGTTAAGGCAAATGAATAATTGAAGAATTTTTAAATCTAATTACTGGAATGTTGCACAACACAATGTTATTCCGCTGGTGTCGCAGTGACAACTGAAGTCTCTCTGGGTTTCACGCGTCTCGAACTCCCCAGACCCCACCAAAGTGTTCACCAAACTCGAGGAACACCAGGTGTCAGCGGGCTTCAACCGAACGAATCAAGAAGCAGGTGACGATATATTTACCGTGAAATATTAACAAAACATGCCGCGTTTCGTGTGATTTAATATGCGATAAATTCGCATCCAAAAGTAAATAGCCGATTTAATTAAGAATCTTTTTTCTTGTTTCATTTTTTTTTATTATTATTATTATTCCTTGTTCGTGATCATCTTAGATTAATAGATATTAATTTGTTTATTATTAGATCGATGTTTGGAAGTCATAAAAATATATTTAGATATTACAAAGTAATTTTAAAAAATTTTAAGAATATCAAATCCTTTTTTGATCGTGTTTTTTTTTTTTTAATTTAACTTAATTATCTAATTTTTATTATTATTGATAACTTAACTAAATAATTTTTATTATTTATTTACGATATTTAATATTCATTCATGAATATTCATTTTAAGTAGTAGAAATTTTTTTCTACTTTCAAAATTGGATATTTTCATCCTGAGATCGAAGTATTTTTTTTTTTTTTTTTAGGTATTTGAGCACCACTGGCCCCCTCACTGTCACATCATCTACGATGTTCCAGAAGGAGGTTTGATGAAGGGAGCTGTCATAGCGGCGGAAAAGGGTAAAAGAAGGAGGGGAATCGGTCGTACGTGCCAATTGACGTTTACCTTGAACAATTTCTTGCAGGCTTATTACACGTTTTTCTTTCTATTTCCATTATTTTTTTTTTCTTTTAAAATTTGGATTTTTTCTCCGGGGGACGAAGTTTTTTTTTTTTTTCCTTTTTTTTTTTTTTTTTTAGGTATTTGAGCACCACTGGCCCCCTCACTTTCACATCATCTACGATGTTCCAGAAGGAGGTTTGATGAAGGAAGTTGTCATAGCCGTGGAAAAGGGTAAAAGAAGGAGGGGAATCGGTCGTGCTTACCAATTGACGTTTACCTTGAACAATTTCTTGCAGGCTTATTACACTCTTTTCTTTCTATTTCCATTATTTTTTTTTTCTTTTTTTTTTTTTTTTTTTCCCTGTTGAAACAGGGATCGTTTTGAATGATTACTTCAACTTATTTGGTTCAAAAAAAAAAAAAAAAAAAATACAAAAACAGTCGTGTAAAATTCTAAATTGATGGCACAATAAAATCGAAGGCCGGCAACATGATTAAATATTCATATAATAAATCTTGAGAAGCAGGTTTTACTTTTTTTATAACAAGATCTGTGAATAACAAATCCAATTATAATAATTACAATTCTATAACAAATCTATTTAAACATTGTTAATTATTTTTACTTTTTTTTTATTAAGTCTCGTATTTCATAGCATACACATAATGAAAATTTTCTAAATTTTGAATAGAATAATTCTAATTTTATAAATGATAGTATCTCATACTGAATCAATTAATTCACAATTAGTTATGATTATATGTTTCCAATTATTCGCAAATATTTCAATAATCAAACAAATTTTTCACAATTTTTCACAATACAAAGCTTTATTTATACTATCAACAAAAGTTAAAGTCTCTATTTTTATCGACAATTTTCATTTTCATTCTTTCATCTTAGTCATTGATCATAGAAATTTTGGTTATAATCAATCATCTGATTAAGTATAAAAATTTGTTCTATAAATCATCTACTCAAACTAATTTCTAATTGTTCCTAAACTAGTTTAAGCAGTTTTAATTAATTCAAATTAGTTTTGAAAATTTTCTTCATAGGTATAAAGTATTTAGGAAAAAGATAAGCAATTATAAATCAGAGTTTATCTGGCAAATGTTAATATAATCTTTTGTTATAACAATTAAAACATAAAATTAGATTATTATTATTATTTGTAAAAATGCATTACGTAGAATTTGCACATAAGTTTTTGCCAATACTTAAACGTTATATAATGTTATAATTAATAAAATTATTACATTTTTATTTCATTTGCGTCATTTCTCCAATGTTTGATTGCATGAAATGAGATTAAGATGCTTAACGAATAAATTCTTTATATTGCAAAGGTACAAGTATTTTTATTCAAATTATGTATGAAAATTGTTTTTAATATTTGATTTTTCTTAATTTAGAATTTTTCTTAATTTACAAGTATTCCTTTCATGTATATAGTATTGATCTGAATAGAAATATAAATGATAAATTTTTCATAAATTTAATAAGAAACCATAAACATATTTTAATACTTCAATATACATCATATAAATTTTTTTAAAATTTCTTAAATTAAACATTTCTTTTTATTGCATGTAACATACAAAAAAAGAGCAAAAACACAAATAGAATTATTGCAAAACCATTTTATCTATATCTATATATATATATCAAAAAGTTTGAGTAGATGAATATATATAACAAAATATTTTATCAATATTCATATCCCCGTTCCATTATCACCATTTATTTTTTCCAAATTTGATAATAATAATAAAAAAACACACACATACACATTTCCCATTACATTTCTACAAATTCTAATTTCCCTAATTTAAATTCTAAATTTTTCAGATCAAAAAGAAATTTGTAATCATGGAGCGGCAAGTGGAACATTTCACTTTCGTGTCCCGGACATTGTCGGCCTGCAATCACAGCCACCCACATGACGGCCGTTCATTCATCCACGATCATTCCCTCCTCCTTAATGAGACGCGCCACCTACGACCGGTTCGATATAAATTATGATTCTTTCATATGGAACACGCATGCGTAATCGTATTTCCTCTGTCTCCCCTATTTTATTTACGACGTTCATCTTTGTCCAAAGCACCCGAGAGAAAGAGAGAGAGAGAGAGAGGGGGGAAAACGACGCCGCCAGGTTCACGAATACCTGAGGACGGAAACCGGTCTCTCGAAATCGTCTAAGTCGAGAGGCGCAAAAGAAACACGCCGATCGCGACAGAAATTCCATTTCCAGAGGAGATAACGCGCTCTTTCGTAGTCGTTAGCTGCCAATCCTTTGATCATTCGAGCTCTATTCGAATTTGGTACAAAGGGAGGGGTAAGGAAATCGAAATGTAATGTTTAATGTAAGAGTTGAGTACGATGTCCTGTTTCTTGAATATCTTTCTGAAATAATCAAAATTGAAGATTCTGAAGAATTCTGAAGGAAGGAAGGAAGGCAAGATTGAATATTAGGAGGAGGAAAAAATCTTTCTTGAATATCTTTCTGAAGTAATCAAAATTAAAGATTCTCAAGGAAGAAAAGCAAGATTGAATATTAGGAGGAAGAAAGTGAAAAAATCTTTCTTGAATATTTTTCTGAAATAATAAAAATTGAAGATTTTGAAGAATTCTGAAGGAAGAAAGGCAAAATTGAATATTAGGAGGAGGAAAGTGAAAAAATCTTTCTTAAATATCTTTCTGAAATAATCAAAATTGAAGATTCTGAAGGAAGGAAGGCAAGATTGAATATTAGGAGGAGAAAAGTGAAAAAATCTTTCTTGAATATCTTTCTGAAATAATCAAAATTGAAGATTCTCAAGGAAGGAAAGCAAAATTGAATATTAGAAGGAAGAAAGTGAAAAAATCTTTCTTGAATATCTTTCTAAAATCAAAATTGAAGATTCTGAAGAATTCTGAAGGAAGGAAGGCAAGATTGAATATTAGAAGGAAGAAAATGAAAAAATCTTTCTTAAATATCTTTCTGAAATAATCAAAATTGAAGATTTTGAAGGATTCTGAAGGAAGGAAGGAAGAAATAGAAAGATTTTCTTGGGTAGAAAGATTTTCTTTGATAGAAAGATTCTTCTTAAAAAGAAAAGGAGAGAATTTTTTTTCTCTTGAAAAATCAATAGATTTAAAACAAAAAAAAAATTATTTCGCACTGTGAAGAAATGAACGATTCGAGGGAATTAGTTGTAAATTCGAATTGGAAAATGAAGATCGTCGAAGATGGCACGATATTTTTATAAACAATATAAATAAAATCGAATCAGAGAGGCATCATCGATGATGCTAAGGACAAAGTTCTATT